GTTCAGATTATCACCACTTCTGCTATCGGCAACTGGATTAAATCTGGTAACGAATACGTGTATAAAAAAACATGAAACTTTTTTCTTAAAAATTAGTTTTTATTTGGTATAAGTGCTTGCGCAATGTATGATCCTAACGGATTCCTTACAACTGTTCAAAGATAAAAATAATCTATTAGTGTAGGATGAAAGAGATCGTTTCTCAGAAATGTATTTGCTTGGCTAGCGTACGCGATGTTGCACCGAAACATCTCGAATATTTCCTTTCGGAAGTAAATTAATAATCTATATGTTTTATGTTCGGGAATGGTCGGAAAGTTTCGAGAAAGACAGAAGAAAAATATAAAAGAGAAGCGATCTGTTGTTAGTTAGTTCAGTTCAGTTCTGTTTGAATCAGCGACAGCTAATAGATGGTAAGCTAATAGATGTGTAACATTATATCTGTGTAATCTAAATAAAATTACTTTAATGTATTATTCACTACAACATTTACCATATCTCTATATTAGCAATAAAAAAAACTGATATCCAAATAATTAGGTACAAAATACTCTTTAAACGGTTGTACTACCTGCACAAGAATTATATTTTTTTTTCTTCACTTATAACAGTGTTTAATAAAAATAATTAGTTCATACTTACACAATTCGCAAGCACGGTGGTTTCCCAAAATTATTTCCTTCCAAAGTAGTTTCGTGTGGTTTGCAGATTGTTGAAACGTTACATGCAACTGTCAAGAAGTATATATTACGTTAAGTATAAAATTAAGCTTGTGTACTGATGAAATCGGAATAGAAAATAACGTTTTCTTCCCTCCCTTGACCCCTGCATTCGCTTTCTTGTCACCCATGCGTACTACCCCATTCCCTCCTATCACGCCTCAGCCGAACCCTTTCACGATTTCTTCCCTTCTTCCCCTAGCTCTGTGATATTCCTTCTCTCTCGAGGGCCCTGTTTAACGAAGGGATTTTCAAGAATCATGAAGACGTGGGATATTCCCCTCCCCCTATAATTACATGATGGTAGTTATGATGAAGGGTTACAGAAATGTTAGTAAAGAATATGCATAATCGTTTACAAGATGTTATTCGTTCCAAAAGTGGTCATACTAAATATTAAAGACTTCAAAGTTATCTGTTCAAATACTTTTGTGGCATTAGCAATCTTTACATATGTAAGAAATAAATCATAAATTGTAATTATATTGTATATTGCTTGAAACTATACCTATATGATCTAAAGAGTCGTAATTCTATCCAATGTTAATAAAAAAAAAATATGTCGGTAAGTTTTATAATATATACTTATTATACTTAATAAAGTACTTCATGGCAAGTGTTCAAGTACTTTCCTTAGTCACTGTATTTTTTAACGAGGAAATTAGTATATTATTTTTGCAATGTTTGCATGCAGTCATTAGCGATAGTTATTTGCCGAATATAAAGGAATTGTTTTGTATGTAAAACGTTTATAAGAAGAAAGATGGAATTTATTTTATCGTAATGAGTTAATAAATTATTTGTTTTTTATTTTCGTTTCGTTTTGATGGAATACAGTTTCAATGGTAGCGTGTATATCAAATGTGGCATAACGTACCCCTTAATATAGTACAGATTGGGAACCACTTTGTGTGGATTATAACTTATAAACTTTGTTATTATCGCGGAAATGATTTTATTTTTAAGAGCTTTTTGAAGTTATATTTCTTTTGGAGCGTTTGAGATAAAGTGATTGAGAGTGAATTTTTATGATGCGACCGAAATATCGACACTACGAAGTGTTATCGGTATTAACGTTGCGCGGGCAAAGCAATTTCAAATTTACGGCATGAAAGATTCTCCTTCTTCCTCCTCTCTTTTTTTTTTTTCAAGCGGTCACCCATCCAAGTTCTAATCGTACTCAAGCGCTGCTTCACTTAAATGATCGAGCAGGAACTATTTCTGTCACGGCGCCATGGCCGTTGACGCATGAATTAATTTGATATAACTCTCTTATATTTAGGGTGGACTTATATCTATAATTTGATAGTATACTTTTAAATTTCTGTTTAAGTTTTCGCGCGCGAGATGCCTAAAATTAATGCAGAGAAATGTAAAGAATATCGTGGGGACTGGCGCATGTGCTGTGCAGCAAATGTGAGGTCCGAAGACCTCCGTTTACTCATTGGCTTCAGAGTGAAAAAAATTTTGTTTAGCTCAGCTGAATTTTTTCGTTCTAAAGCTAGATTAAAGCTACAATTAAAAAAAAACAAATTTTAAATCGATGGATTTTTCGTCGAATTAGAGTTACTTGTTTACAAGCGCTCGCGC